TGGGACAAAACCGCCTGAATGCCGTTACCACTGGCATGGGTGTCCAAAATGAAGTCACCTTCGGGAATCGGGTATGATAGAACTGGAGCGGCCTGAAGCCTGCTCCCCAACTTGTCAAACGCCTACTGACAACTCTCACCCCTCTCAAACTACTTTGACTTCAAATTCCCATATAAACCTCTGGTAGTACGAGGCGAGACCCAAGAAACTCCTCACTTCTCGTACGCACCTCGAAGTTGGCCAGTTTGCCACTGCTTCAACCTTTTGTGGGTCTGTAGCAACGCCTTCTGAGGACAAAATGTGGCCCAGGTACGCCACTGACTTTTGAAATAACTGGCACTTACTAGTTTTCAATTTGAGCCCGGGGTGTCTTGGCCGATCAAATACCACCCGAAGACGGGCTAAAGTCTCCGTCACCGTCAGACCAAGCACAATAATGTCGTCCAAATAGATCAATAGATCTTCCACTGCAATCCGGCCTTGACCTTTTCCATGAGCCTATCAAAAGTGGCCGGGGCATTGCACAGCCCGAATGGCATTCATTTCAACCGGTATAATCCATTTCTCAACACAAATGTTGACTTTTGGCTGGCGTCCTCATCAAGAGCGGCTTGCCGGTACCCTAAATCGATGCTAAATCGAGGGCACAGAACTACTTCGCTCCTCTCAAGACATCGAATGTTTCATCAATGCGCGGGACGGGATATGCATCCTTGATGGTCACCGAATTCAACTTCGGTTGTCAACGCAAAAGAGTTTCGTACCATCCGTCTTGTCAACAAGGATGAGATTTGCTGCCCAGGGACTATCTAAGCGTTCAACCACTCCCCTCTTCTCCAGGTTGCGTATTTGCTCCTGAATCTCCAGCTGATGCAGCTACGGGTGACGCTTCAACCTCTCTTTTATGGGTTTGGCATCACTAGTATCTGTGTGATGCTTGACCAAGCCCATGTGACTGATGTCAAAGTCTATTAGACATTTTCGGACTTCCCGATGGTACTTGGCCTCCACATTGGCGGTACCCCTCTCATATAGATCTTGCAAATACGGGGACAACACCTCATCCGCATTTGCTACCACGTCCAATTCCTCATGAATTGAACTGGCCTCAACCTTTGAAATCACTCCCGGAGTTGTCCCCTCTCGGGCAACTCTCCTCTCCTTTCCAGGATTGAAGACCCACAACGGAACAACATCGGCTTCAGTCTCAACCAGAGATCTCGCCAGCATCAAACCTTTATTGACCAAGTCACCGCCACCTTCTACCAGGGCTAGCCCGAGCAATTCTGTGCCCTTCTGAGCTATTTTGCCCGGGACCACAGCTTCGTACCCTGGTGGAATTACTGTAGTTTGGGAAACCACAACACGCTCAACCAAGGGTTAGCATGCCACCATTTATGCACTTGATCCGCTCACCATTAAGCTTCCACTCCCTTACTTGGAAGTCTTTGTTTCTGCCCGATGGCAAGAGAAAATCCATACGCAGCATACCACTGTACTCCATTTCGGCAAGGACGGCTTTCTCTGGGTGCGTGGTTCGACCCACTTGCACCTCCACCAAAGCTTGACCCGACGCAGCTAATTGGCTTCTGTCCACTTGTTTCACTTGGGATATCTACTGTCTCCAAGACAGACTTTATTTTCATTGGGAATATTATAGTACACCTCACTACTTATTAACGTATCAGTTGAGCCCGTGTCAGTTAAGAATCGATCTTGGTCGACTTCACCAACCCTTCAACAAACAACCCATAACGGGGATTGCGGCTTGAATCCGGCAGAGAAACTTTTCTCTGACCATTATCTCACTTTGACAATTTGTTTCCTCTGATGTCACTGTCACCAAGTCGCCTTTTGGACCCTCTTGGCCGCTCAATCTTCCTGCGGGTCCTACGGGGGGCTGATCGCCGTTTCCCTGCTTCGGTGCATTCGTACAATGCCGGGCGAAATACCCTTTCTCCTTTCACTTGAAACATTTACTGGTTACAGGTTTGGCTCTACCGGGCTTGCTTGTCTTCGCGAAAGACGCGCCCTTGCCTGGCCCCTGGCCAGTGATCCGACCTGACAATGACTTCATCATCTCGGTCACAGAACACAAAGTCTCTCCACAGGAGCAGGGGGAGTGGGTTGGGGTAGCGGTTCTTTACTCGCTTTGCACCAGTAAGGCCCGGGTTCGAGTCCCGGCTTGCCCCAGGCTTTATGTGCATTTGGTTTCCAGTCCATATTCGTTCTCGCAGGTTTTCTGCGAGTACTCTGGTTTCCTCCTGCCTCTAAAACTGAACCTTCTTCCTAACTCCGTAATGTGATGTTGATTAATGAAGTGTATGAATAAACATACAGTTATTGGCGCAAATAGCCTGGGTTGCTGAAAGTGCCATTAAAACAAAACAACAGCAGAAGAGCAGTTTGCTGCTGAGAAGCACGAGCTTAGCTTGGAAGCTTAATCACTGCTGGGAAGCACTGCTGGAAAGCATCTGCTGAAAGATGTGGGTTCTAACACACGCAGTAAGCACTTACCGTAATAGTGTGATATTCATGCATTGTGAATCTGGGACCACTGGCTTTCAACTCAGCGATACCGTGCCCCAGTACAGTAGCCATTGCATAGATTCGACACAACGTGATAGTTTGTATGTGTTGAAACGTCTGAAATCAGTCTGTGGGCCTTACGGCTGCTCGTTCGTACATTCACTGCAAAGATCGCCCTCTGTCGAGATTTATAGACAAGGCTCTAGCCTGATAACCCATACATAATTATCGGGTTCTATTAGACTCCATTCTAGTAGTAATTCGACATTAGAAAAATAACTTGCCTTGGTTATTAGCAAACACAGCTAATAGAGTACCCCATGTACACCTAAAAACCAATACCGGGACGGTATACTTCCATCCCAACGGACGCGTCTCTAGCCGCTAAAGAACGATCTGGTCGTGCTGTCCGCGTCGCACATCTGGAGAAGACAGCGCCATCGTGGTTCCTGGGGTGTGACGTCACAGTAGCATCTGTGTCAATACCACCACACCAAAGGCGGAGCCGTGGGGGCTTGAGTCTTCCCACCGAAGTTTTCAGATTTCTTTTCTGAACAACGAAGAATGATACAATTTAAGCCTAAATCCAAAACTTCCAGCTGCTGGCGACCACGGGCGGAAATTTCTCCTCGATCGCGGGGGGGGGACATCAATTGAAACTTTTTTGTGCACAGCATGTTTATTATGTTTTTTCATTTATAAAAATGGGAAATCCTCCGTCCTTCAATTCCTTTAGTATTATGTTTTGCTGAAAGCATGACGGGAACATTCAACATTGTGTCCTCCGGTGTCAAATTCATCGGGGGACGTGTTCCCCTGTCCCCCCGGATTTCTGCCTAAGATATACATCTGTATTTTCCTGAATGTTGCACAACTAATGGGGGTGGACATTATGAGGTATGGGAGGGCGTAATTTTAGGTCAGAGCCCTCTCCGGATAACAAATATGGACGGGTGCTGGCCACTGAGTTTCATCTTAACTTTAAGGGTGGGCTTTATTTAAAAATGGTTTACTTAACATTGTTCCAATGATTGTTTATCTCACTACAGCAGCCACGGCAGTGCCTTCTTCAACAACAAGTAAGTACAGCCATGATTATGATTACGAAGTAATTATATGGTCGGGAGGGATAACTTAATTGGATATTTGGAACCACAGAGACATTTTGATGTCTCTCTAGTGCCACAGCCCCTGAAAGAGAATTTTGGTTCCTTCATTTGTAAAAGTTAAGATCATTTGTGTACATTTGTGTATATTTCAGTAATTAGGACCCTTTCTAGCTTATCGTTCTCTGCACACGAGTCTACAGGAACATCTGCTAAAAGTACCACTCAAGGATATCACCACTCTTAAAACCATTTATATATCATCATATTATAATCAGATAACATTACATTATTTTAAATTACCTTACATTGCATTGCATTGCATTGCTTTGCATTGTATTGCATTGCAATACATTTACGTTTACATTTACATTTACCTTTATATTTACATTACATGATCATATTACATGATTTTTTTTTCTTTTTATAGAGGGAAGTCCACCACCACCCCCTCCCGGTAAGAAGCGTATTTCATCCGACTGTAAGAGCTATAATGTCTAACTTTTCGGAAGCAGAATGCACACTGTGATTAATATTCTCTTGTTTGAGGTAGCAGGCTGACAATTTTGAATTTAGCATCCTAAAATGTGTTTCATTAAAATCTAATGCATTTTTCAATCTCATGAGCTTTTATGTGAAACACTCCAAGAATATTTAGGATGGGGGCAAAACAAATCTCTGTTTTTGATTTGGAGCATCCATTTCTCCGTTCTTACATCTGTCTCCAAACATAGTGTAAACAATATTTTGGAAAGATCAAATACAGTAAAAACTATTTAGTAAACGCCCCTTGCCGTTTGAAACACAGCGTGTTAATTGTACCGTTGGTTTCAGCCTAGCACGGATATGCAAAGTTCAAATTAATGGAAAGAAGCCATTTTTGCCGCAACAGTAATACAAATCTAATCTTCTAAACTAAAGACCTAACCCTGATGTCAGAGTTGTTGTTTGACTTCGTTTTATTCACGTTCTTAGATAATCGATTCACATTTATTTAATGGGCAGTGTGTCGTACGTATGGACTAGCCAAAACCAGCTGCACCAGAGAGTGCCGAGAGCGCTCCTGCATAGATGGTAACTGCTACAAGATTGATTTCATCAAGGATACCGCTAGTAACACTACACTATGCTGCGAGTGCAGTGATGGAAAGGTGTATAATGGTACGGGATGCGTCCTGCCACAGGAATGCAAATGTCGGGATGAAAATGGTACACTGAGGAAGGTGAGGAACGTTCACTTTCTGAGTTATATGATTGAATGGTTATGTTTGTTTGATATGACAAGTTTTTTGTGCGTTTACCTCAAATTTTGTAAATGTAAGTCTTTATCATTTGTAAGATGTTGAAATGATACCAATGCGTTCAGTGGCATCGGTGTCTTGAATCATGCATCTTTTTGGTCCAGTTCGTACTTCCTGAGAATCACGGGCAATTTTGAAAGCACTGCTTAACAAATGCCACAGATCTTTTGAGGCGCAGTTAATGTTATACATTGCCAATAATGTATACTCACGAGAAACATATTGGCTTGGTGTGTGTGCCCACTTTGTAATAATATGTACCATTATAGCCAATTCGTTTTTCCCAGACCATTTGCCATGGATGCTCTTAAGTCCCTACTTAAGTCCCCTATCATGCCACAGCGAATAGTAGTATATGAAGAAATAACAATTGCGCTTTTGGTGGGACCTAGCATCATATCATGCTAGCATTTAAAGCATTTAATTTTAAGTGGAAAAAATAAGCATCACTTTCTCTCTCATTGTAAACACGGAACTTGTGCACAGTGTCCGTGCATGGTGATAATGTAACACGTATTTCGCATGTAAAGTTTAAGCTCATATGCACGCTGGCACATGCGTGAAGTTTTAATACCTGTTCCATCTCTGAAGTTCACATACTTCCTTTTCTGCTTGTGGTTTCCGCGTCAGTGAAACATAGGAAGGCCCTGCTAGTAGAAAATTGTGCACTGAGCAGTTCCAGAAATTTGAGCTCTTAATCGGCATCCTCCTACCAGATGAATACTTTTTGCTTCAAAATACAAGCTGCAATGCAGACAGAGGCTATAAATGTATTAGTTGGATTGATTTTTGCCCCCGATCCGAAGCATACGTTGGTGTGTTTGCAGTAGCACCGTGGCCTTTTCACTTGGAAATATAAAGTGAAGGACAAAAGTAATGTTTAACCAATAAGCCGTTTGCGAGTTAAATTTGAATAACATCTGGTACACAGAGTCGCCCAATTGCGTATGAACATAACAATTTGAATTCCTTACACTAAATGGGAGGTGATTAATATCTGATACATTAAGTTACCTGATTGCACATGAACATAACAGTTTGAATTCTTTGCACTGAAGACACTGCTGCTATACCTCATGAATCGGGGAAGGCTTTTGCATAGCGACCACCATATCTGCAATGGACTGGTTCCTCTGTGCCCTTCTTATCCCTTGTAAACAGTGTAGGGCCTATTTGTGCAATGGGTCACTTATGTAGTTAAGCAAGAGCTCACCAAAAGTCACGAGGTACACCGATCGCAAGTGTCATTAGTATGGTGAATTCATATGGTTATGTTCACTAATAATATGAATAACATATTGAATGGAGGTATCCTATCAATAATTATAATATCAACTTGAATTAACTTTTAACTTCAACTTCAGAACCTCAGGTCTCAAGTTTAAGTGAAGGTCAAGGAGCGTGTTCAAAGTATTCAGCTAACAAATACCACCTTCAACTAGTCTCTCCCCCTCTCTCTCTGAGACAGCCTGAAGAGAAATGGGACTATAGCAACAACAGCTGTAGAACATGCAAATGTTCGTCCAACACCATCGAGTGTGACCGGGATACTACTTCTACTGGTTGCCGGCCTACTACCACAGTACCTACAAGCCCAAGTATGAGCATTGTTGTTGTTGACGCTTGGAATTTTTTTTAGAAAAGCGTGGAGCATACATGCTAAAAGTGTAATCCCACAAAAAAGAAAAGGTGCAAATGAGCAAAATTACCAAGAAAAATAATGCCACATGGGCTAGTAATGCCACATAGGCTAATAATACCACACAAGCTGAAGTGTCTGTACATAAAACTAAGCCTTTAAATATTCAGAATCAGCGGCTCATCTTGGTCCTGGACCGCCTCCCACATCTATGTGCTCAGTCCGTCATTGTCTTCTGACGACGGACTGAGTGCGCAGTCCGAAACGTTGAGTATACTCCCGGTTCTTTTCAGAAGCACACACTAATAAGAGAGATATATTCCTTCGCACGGTCCTACTGCAAGCCTTTCCATCTATTGCTGCCCTTCACCATGAATAGCTTAAAATGCCATTTAAAGCACTCCACTTCTGAGATATCTGCAAGGTTTGAACCCAATCAGACATGTACTTCACAAGATATTGTGCTTTGAAGAGTGCACATTTAATGTCAAGTGACATGATTATGGGATGATGTCATCATCACATGACGTCATTTTTATCTACAACGCGTTTCTTTCTAAATTTCTGCCACGTTTCAACCCAATCAGACATGCACTTCAGCATATATAGCACTCTAAAGGATGCTCTTCTAATGTCATGTGACTCGTCTGCTGAGACACTGTTATCAAATGAGGTCAATGTCCGTTTATAAACAGTCCTGTCATAACTATCTGTAAAGTTCCAATCCATTCAGACAATAAAAAATACAATACAAAACATTATTGTAATTGCGGAAACAGAACAGATAAGAGGTCTTAAACATTTCTGTAATCCATACAATGCGATCTGCTCTCAACACCATGTGCTTGGCCATTTGCCAACTCCCTTAGTATATGCCTCACGCACTGTGCGCTGCCTATGTTGCAGGCAGATATTGCACGTCCACGAACACAGTAGCCAATGCACAGTGTGCGAATGGGATTTTTGAGTCCGCAAATATTGTAAGGGGTTTTTTGTCTTCTGCGTTTCATCTTTGTGAAGAAGTACACCACTTATGCACTTCATGCAGTAGACTTCAATGTTTTAGCTATCGTGTAACACAAAATCCAATATGGTTGATTTTTTACCGAATTTTGAAGAACAAAAGGACATTTTGTTATAACTTCAGGCAGGATGACGTCATCAGCCCTAAATTGCACGCGTGTTAACTGGGTAAAGATCATCATCCACATCAATTTCAAGGCGATTGTGACAAACCTCTCCACAGACATCTATTCAGAATTCGTTTTCACAATCTTTAACTGTCTCTAGAGGGCGCGGGACAATTACTTGACGTTAATAATAATTGAATTGAGGAATAATATACCTGAACAGTTTAACGCCGTTGAAACGACTTGATGCCTATTACAACTTTCAAACATTAAGTCCACTTCCGGTTTACACTGGAACGAAAGGTCACATGATTTGACCCACACGAGATGAATTGAAAACGAAATTATAGCCTGCAGCTTAACGCAAACCGTGTTGCAGGAGGCTACGGTTGACTTTATACGGATTTCTAAAATTTTCACACGATATTTAAATATTCCAAATTTCATGTTAAATTACTTCATGGCATCATCGTGACGTAATTGTTTCAGTGTTATCTTTGCTTTATGGTCTTTGCTAGCTGTAACTTACACGTTGCCTCAAAACCGTGTACAAAGTTAATGGGTTAGAAGAAATATTAAAAATCAATAAAAATACTTCATGCCGTCACGACGTTATTGTCAAATGCACATCTTTGCACTAAGGTCCTTCATTGACTTAAGTTTGATGAAGATCCAAATTTGTAAAATGATCAAAGTCGATGGTGGAAGAAACGTGCACAAAACAAATGGGCTTTTGGTCAGAACAGGAAGAACAAGAAGAAGGAAGAAACTAGAGGTTTTGTCTGTATTAAGGACAAAGCAAAGAGCTTTTTTGCAATTCCTTTTGTTTCTTAAGAACAGGGCATTAATTCATTTGAGACACTACCACAGTTGGATTTCTAACTCCATACTCAAACATCTATCCAAGAGTTACCAAAGTTTCTAGCAATATTTTGGTGACTTTATTATGACGAAATATTCTAACCCTTCCGGGACATTAGGAGATATAGGGAATTAAAGTTTGAGTGCCGAAGACTGGCTGTTGAAAAACGTGTACAAAGTCAGTGGGCTGAAATAAATATTTAAAAATTAATTTAAAAATGATAACACCTTCATGACTTCATTCATTTGCAATATTTCCTGTGTCAGGGTCTTTTTGAATCGATATCCAACTTCCTTGACACCATTCTAACACCCATTGTCAAAACGCTCCCCAGCTATGTCAAGGATACAAATCATGCTCTACGTCTGTTCTATGAATTTGAATTCCCAGGTTCATCTTTTTTTTTTCGCCTTGGATGTGAAATCTCTTCACACATCCATTCCCACGCGGGTGGTTTGGCTGCTCTCAAACACTATCTCCGCCAGACTCAGGGTCCTCCCACCAGCACTCTGCTCCGTCTTGCTGAATTGGTGCTCACGTTGAACAACTCCGAGTTCAACGGTGAACACTAAGTACGTTCAGACCAGTGGTGTGGCTAAGGGCACACGGATGGGACTAAGTTTTGCCTGTCTGTTTGTTGGTCACATCAAGGAGCAGATGCTGACCCAGTACCAGGGCGTACAGCCGTTAATTTACCAGCGATACATCAATGGTATTGTTGGTGCTCTCACCGGTACGTGCGGTAACGTTGAGAGTTTCTTAGCGTTTGCGGATGCTTTTCGCCCAGTACTGCGTTACACATCTGATGTGTCGCAGTGTTACCTTCCTCGACGTGTACGTCCAGATCTGTGCCCGGAAACTTGGCACAACTGTGCATTACAAACCCACAGATTCCCACAGCTACCTGCAGGACCAGTCGTCCCACACCCTCAAGAGCAAGAAATCCATCAATAACCTTCAGTTTCTTCGACTGCGTAGAATTTGTAGTTGCAATGCGGAGATCTCTGCGCGTGGGAAAGAAATGCTAGGTCTCTTTCATCGGCGCGGTTACCCTACGGCTATCACAGACGCTGCCTTCAACGCCGTATCTTCAATCCCGGGCAAAATAGCTCTGAAACCCAGGGTTCCAAGCAACGTGATCGCGTCCCCCTTGTACTTACATACCACCTTCGAAACATCCCGGTACGCAATGTTCTTCTCAAACATTTTCGCACACTCGGAAATGATGCGGCCACAGCTTCCATTTTCATCTCCATCCGGTGTAAAGTGCAAGGAACTGGATCAGCGCGTCATTTTCGAACTTGGGACGCTGCATCCAAAGGGAATGAACGTGGATTTTTCTGCGTTCATTCAGAACTAAATCTGCTTGCCCTGAAGAGGGTACTCAGTTACCCAAAGCTTGGCAATGACATATTCCAGACCACTGATTTCATATTATATTCTTGTCAATATTCGTCTTATTCACTTCCCTTTCAAGATATCTGCAAGGTTTGAACCCACTCGGACATATATTTCAGGAGATATAGCGTATTAAATAGTACTCCTTTAATGTCAAGCGACTTGTCATTTGATGACGTCATCATCACTTCCTTTCCAAAATATAAGCAAGGTTTCAACCCAATCAGACACGCAGGTCAAGAGAAAAAGCGCTTCGAAGAGTACACCTGTAAAGTCATGTGACACTATCATCTGACGACGTCATCATCACGAGGTCAATGTCGTCTATCACACTTCCCTTTCTAAGTACTTGCCATTTTTCAACCCAATCGGACGTGCACTTCAGGAGATACAGTACTTTTATAGGATGCACGTGTCTTGTCTGCTCGCCGTTTATAAACCTTTCCAACCTGACTATCTGCAAGGTTTCAACCTAATAAGACATGTGCAATACCAAATACAATACAAAACATTATTGTTATCGCGGAAAGAGCACAGTTCCGGATTATAAACATTTTTCGTTTTTGTGTTCCGTATAATGCGGTCTGCTTTCAACTCTAACACCGAGAGACTACCACCGTTGAAAACAAAGTACAAAACAAAGTTGATCTGAAGAAGAATTTGAAGAAGAAGAATTTGAAGAAGAAGAATTGAAGAAGACTTCTTTTTGACTTTTCAAAAGGAACACTTTATTACATTCCTTTGAAAATACAATTAAAAATTAAAAGTTAAATTATTTACAAATAAAAGATTTGTAAATATAGTCAAGAACAGAGCACATGTGGGATAAACATGAGGAATAAATACCAACAGTTCATGTGTAATCATAAGGGAATAAAGAAGCACAAATCAATGTAAAAAAATCATTTGGAAACGAGAAATAAACCAAAATATATAAACGAGATCAAGAACTAAAAGGATGAAAGTAAATTACACAATTGCCAAATATAACAAGAGTTTGTAAGCAAGGACAGAAACAAGGAAATGCACGAAAATAAATTTTACATAAGTAAATAAACGTAACTAAACAGAAGCAGCAGTGCGTATAATGAAATAAATTAATCAAAATAAACGTAAAGAGAAATGTGTAAGAACGAGGCAAAAAATATACGCGACAGCGACACCATTCCAGAGACATAAATAAGGCAGTATTAAGGGGAGGGGGGTAAGAGGGGTAAAGGGAGGGGAGGGAAAAGGGAAAAGGGGATCCTGGCATCACTGGTGTGGGCATCTTAAAATGCCCACTGCCGGAAATCCCCCGATTGGGGAAAAGGTAGGACCGCCGAGGTGGACTGTGCACAAGGCACAACGTCCCGCGTTGGGGTCAGTGGTGACTACCCAAGCAACGGCAAGCCTGGGAGGGGAGGGAAGAATTAAATGAAAAATACAAGACAAAACATGATAACAGTACAATACTCAGAAAGTAACACACATATAAATACAAAAGTACATCAACAGTAAACAAATTCAAATGGTAACAATTTACGAGAAGTAGCAGTATAGTAAGAAATGCCCACGTCACGGTACGGTGCGATCCCCTCACTCGACAAAGCGAGCAGCTGCCCCGGACTTAGGCAGCTAGGAAGAAAAAAAACAAGAAGACAGTAATTAGATGAGCCATGTAATCTTTTCGTTAAATACTGTAAAAAGAGAGTTGTTTATACAACTTTTTTTTTAACAGATAAGAGAGGAGTTCAGTCGGTGACAGTGATATTTCATTTCAGGCCCCCTGGGGCTTCGAATAGTTTATTGCCGCTAGGATGGGTTGCTGGAGTAAATTCCTCCACTGACCACACCGGCGCTGGAGTTAAGACCCAGCTTTTTGGTTACAGGTTCATAGGCAAAGCCAGTGTGTGTGCTGGTCACTTTTGTCTGAGCAGTTTGCCAGGTCGGTTCGTTTGGTTTATTACTGGATAAATAGTCAGTGTTAGTTATAAATTTGCAAAGTATCCTTCCTAGGTTAGTCTTCTGCTATATTCTGCATTTCGTTAGCAACTTTGGAAAGTAAACCTCGTTTAGTCCAGCCCCTCCCAACTATTTGGGAAGACAATGGCGCGGGAAGCAAGAACAAAGCGGCGTACTGCCGGCGCTGAGGGGTCGAGACCAAGGGGGAGGCCTCGTTCGGACCGCATCGCGCCGGCTGTTGTTCCGCGCGAATCTTTGGCTCCCGTCGCAGAGGCGACTGCTGTGGCATCGGGTGAATCTGTTTCTATACCGTCAGAGCTAACACCTAGTACACCAGTTTCTATCACATCTGCCCCTGATGGCCCGGCCATTTCGGTTGCATCTCCCCCTATTGTTCATTCGGTTATGTCCGTTACCACTTCGTCGGGCATAGGGGGTGGCGATGTCACGCCCCAAACAAGTGTTTGCGATGATCTTGCGTCAGGGGTTTCTCCACACCTTCGGGACAAACTTTGGAGGGGGGAATTTGTAGATTTTGAGCCTCATTTGTGGCCCTTTAAGTGTTAATAATACCAGTGACTGCGTGATATTACTATTGGGTGGCACGATTCCCCAGCATGGCCAATTCGTCCCCACAACCAACCCCCTCAGATCACCTCAATTGAATAGTGTACCTCGGCTTTTCTAAAGTTTGCATCCATCTATTTGATGCAGCACCCTGCTCAGGCAAGGCAGTTGCTAAAATATGCCGACATCGTCCGTTCGGCTGCTTTTCGGCGAGTAGGTTATGGGTGGCGCGACTATGATATTCAATTCAGGTTGCGTCAAGCACGCATGCCGCCTCGGTCGTGGGCCAGCATTGACACTGAACTGTGGCTAACGTTGGTCGGTGCGCCAGTCCAACAAGCCATTTTTCGTCCCTACCGGACTCTGTTTCAATTTTAACCGCGGCCACTGCTTCAGACCCGCCTGTCGTTTTGCCAATAATTGCGCAGCCTGCTTGCCCGTTGGCCATTCCGCCGCCTCATGCCGTGGCGGCCCTCGCTCGGTGTGGGGACCACTCAGTCCAACCACACCTCTCAATGCCGGTAATAATAAATAAACTGCGCCCTTTCTGGCATCATATGGTGACATGCATGACGCTCAGGTACTGTTAGAGGATTTTACGTCAGGTTCCGTATAGGGTATACGGGTCCTCAGTTTAGCACTTCTGCCCTTAATTTTATCTCTGCTCGACAAAATAGAGAGGTAATGAAAGGCAAAATTGACCGTTAGTTACATTTCCCAATTTTCGTTGTTCTCCAGTAGGTTTAGTGCCGAAACAAACCCCGAGTTCCGTTACATTCATTACCTTTCGTCACCTTTGGGTGATTCAGTTAGTGGTCATATTTACCCAGCCAGGGCTGCGGTGTCTTTTGACGATGCTATTGAATTGGTTTCTAGTTTTGGTCCCAGAGCCCAGTCGGATATAAAATCGGCTTTTCGTTTAATCCCTGTTCATCCTAATGATTATGATTTACTGTGTTTTTCGTTCGACGGTTCATTTAATTATGACAAGTGCATGCCCATGGATTGCTCCATTTCTTGTGCCACGTTCGAACGATTTAGCACCTTTCTCGAATATTGCACTGGTATACGGACACATCCCAGCACCTCGGTTTCGGAGCTTTCTTTAATGGGAGTTGGACGCAAGGCATGTGGCCACTAAAATGGCGCTCCTTGAATTTGTCCATTGCTTTTCTCGAACTTTTCCCGATCACCCTCGTGTTGTGCTTATTGGTCCTGGCCTTGCAAAACCAGCGTGTCATATTTTGGTGTGATAATGAGGCTATGGTGGCGATTATTAATAGCCAAACATCAAGGTGTCTCAGAATTATGAAGTTGGTTCGCATGTTCTTAGTGCTTTGTTTGAGGTTGAATATCCATTTAAGGCACGCTATGTACCTGGTCTTGATAATGGCATCGCTGATGCGCTACCTCGTTTTCAGATGGATCGTTTCCGGCAGCTGGCGCCCGAGGCCGCCCCCGTTATGACACCCTTGCCTGCAGAGCTTTGGAGCAACTCAATTTAGAGGTTCACAGTCTTTTGATGGACTCAGTTGCCAGCGTACCCATCCAGTTTACCAATGTGCGTGGCAATTTTTCTGTTGGTTTATTTCCCGCCATGGTTTTCTTAATTAATACATCTTCTAGTCCCATATTGCAGCAGCTCGTGCAGTTTATTGCATTTTTGTCCGTTAATGGGTACGCCCCGGCTACTATCTCAGGGATTCGCTTGAAAGGTTCCCACGACATAACTAAACATTTCATTGTGAAACGAATGTTAGATGGTTGCCGCCAATAGGGCGATCAACGCCGCCCTATTACGACTGTCTTACGGCGGCGTATTATTCCTGCTTTGCACTGGAGCGGCTATCATGTTAGCATTTTGGGGGGTTTCTGCGCGTCGGTGAACTCCCCGCGTCCACTCGATCTGGAATTTTACGTTTAGGTCGTTCTGATGTTACCCTTTGTCATACCTCTTCTGGCAGTGTGGTTAATCTAAACACTCGTTTCTCCAAAACCGATCAGTACGATCAGTGTTGTGTAATTTCAGTGCCTGCTGTTTCTGAGGGCGAATTTTCCCTGTGCCCTGTTCAGGCCACTACACAGTTCCTAAGCAGGTGTCCTCAGCATTTCAGCAGTTTCCTATCCCATTTTGATGGTTCTCTAGTTTAGATTTTAGGCAGTGGGACCAGACGAGAGGAGGATCGGAAAAGGCAGCAGAGCGATAGGACCAGTAGATGTTTTTAGTTTTTAAGGCTGACGATGAGATAATTCGCGAGTTTGACTGCGTCCCGGTCCCGACTCCTGGCGTTTGGGATCAGCATCCAGTAGAGGTCAAAGTTTAGACGGAGATCGGGAAGAAGACGGGAGAGCAGGGCTGGTTTGATGGTAGGGCACAGGATGAAGAGATCAACGACAGTTCCGTCTTCTCCACACCATCCGCAGGATGGGGAAATGTCAGAATTGAGATGATGAAGAATAGGGAGAGAAGGCAGGAAGTTGTAAAGCAGACGGAACTGAACGTGGCCTCCTTTCTTGGAAATAGGGAGCTTGTAGATCTGACTGCAGGGGATGGAGAAACTACAGTTCTTGAAAAAGCCGAGTCGATGCCAGTGGGTAATTGCGGTGGGAAGGTGAGAGTTGACGGAAACGTTGAAGATGTCGTAGATAGTCTTTGAAGATAGCGAGAGTCCGTTGAGGTCGGGAGCGATGAAGAAGGGTATTGGAGTGTCTGGAAAGCAGGGGACGGTGCGGAGAGGAGTCGGAGGAGAGAGCAGACCGTAGAAGTCCAGGAGCGACAGAAAAGATAAGCGGAGGGCGAGATGTAGACGGTAAAGCAACTTGTGAATGAGGCGGAAGGAAGGACGACGGGTTCTCAAGGAGCCTAAAGGTAAATCTTCGGCTTCCAGCCAGCGACCGGTGGAGGGGTGGAGAAGATTCCGGACAATGCTGATCCCGCACGAGAGGAGCCAAGAACAGGTGTTCCCATCGTCAGCCGCATGTTCAATAAAAGTACTATTGGTAGGAATGTTGATAACATGGCTGATCAAATCCAAAGGTATATGAATCCGAGCTCCGGATGCCGTCCAACCACGCAGTAGCTCGCCATTGAATGGAGAAATACTGATGAAGAATTTTGGTTCGAGTTTAATTTGGAAGAGTTGAAAGTCAAAGTCGATTTTTTTGTAACGCCAGAGAAAATAACTGACCATGGTGTAGGCAGGATGAGGACAAAGATCAAGAAAACGTTGAATAGTGGAAATTCTTTAGGCGAGCGTGCGTGCTTGGAGGATGTCTTTTCCCAGATCAGACGAAGTCGACAAGCAAATCTTGGAGTTAGCTCGGGATATTTTTGGGGCGAGAGAGAACGGCCAAGACATAAAAAAGTTTAGAAGCGGCGAGTTGATTGGCCGCGAGAGTTTTGCGAGAGGATGGAGGGGTTTTATAAAATCATTGCAGGAACATCGACCAAATTACCAC